ATATCTCTCTCTCTCTCTCTCTCTCTCTCTCTCTCTCTCTCACGGGATTCGGCCAAAGGGGTGCGAGCGGCAGCAACGGGTAGAGGAGATCGGGGCTTCGGCTAAGTGGGGATCGGCGTCGGACAGGGAAGAGAGGAGGAAGAGCTCGGGTTAGGTGTTCGTGTGCGAGGAGGCGATCGTGGTTTGTGGTCGGGATCGGAGAGAGAGCAGGAGGTTGGGGATGTCAGGAGGAGAAGCAGAGAGCGAGTGTGGTTTCGCGTGGAGGAGATCGCGTGCCAACAGTGAGGCGTTCGGCCTCTATTTAACGACGCTTGTGATCGTTCGATCGAGGCGACATCGCAGAATTTGCGCTGGATTTGCGGAGACATGATGCGAACGGCGCCGATTTCAGCCAGATTCGTGGATCCGACTGGTATGAAGTTTGCACGTTAGATTTCTTTCTTCCTCCCCTTTTTGTTCTCTGTGTATTGGTTAACAAAGATTTTTCCTAAGAAGCCTTTCTATAGTTACCACTTATGATAATTATATTGTCAACATATGCAATGAGAATTGAGATTTTATCCTTAGTGGAGTATTTTCTGAAGAGGATATGATCTTTTTGGCTTTTTTTAATATCCAAATTCATTTATGAATTTTGTGAATATGCCAAGCTATGCTCTTAGAAATTGTTAAGGCAATATAAAGACTTTTTTATGTGCAAAGTTTATTGTTTGTAAGAAAATATTAAATCTAGTTGGTGGATCCATATAGACCTCTTCTTCAACATCGCAATGTCTACTTCTTTTAGTTCTTCATCTCGTTATATTTTATAGTTGATTTAGTTGGAGTTTTATAAGGTTTACGATCAGTGATATTTATTTATTTTACTAGATCCATGATATGTTTTTCTTGTTAGACGAATATTTATTATTATGATTGAGCAACTTCTATTTTCAAGAAGTATTTTGGTTTGTCCAACTCTTTAATTTAAATTCTTTAGCAAGTTTTTTTTCCTTCGTCTCTTCTTTATATCTATCACGTGTGATAATTATATTGTCAATATATACGATGAGAATTAAGATCTTATCATTCTTCAACATCCCAGTGTAGGAAAGCATTCTTTAAATCGTATTGTTGTATTAATTATCCACGATTATAGTTGATTTAGTTGGAGTTTTATAAGGTTTACGATCAGTGATATTTATTTATTTTACTAGATCCATGATATATTTTTGTTGTTAGACGAATATTTATTATTATGATTGAGCAACTTCTATTTTCAAGAAGTATTTTGGTTTGTCCAACTCTTTAATTTCAAATTCTTTAGCAAGTTTTTTTTCCTTAGTCTCTTCTTTATAGTTATCACGTGTGATAATTATATTGTCAATATATACGATGAGAATTAAGATCTTATCATTCTTCAACATCCCAGTGTAGGAAAGCATTCTTTAAATCGTATTGTTGTATTAATTATCCACGATTATTTGCCAGAAAAATTAATATGCATATTATATTTATTTTCGTAACATGAAAAAAAATGTCTTTGTACTCAATTCCATAGAATTGATTATATCCTTTGACGACCAATCTTGTTTTATATCATTCCAGGTTTCCATTTGCTTTGTATTTTACAAAAAAAAAATGATTGTATCCTACCATTTTCTTCTTTTGTTGTTCATGGATCTCCTATATGTGTTTTTTATTCAAGAGTATTTTTCTCTTATCTCATGACATTATTTCAATTCTTATTTTTAAGTGCCCCAACTGAAGTTTGTGGTATTGTAATAGAAATAGAGCTGATATTTGCAAGGAAGGTTTTATGAGTAGGAGAAAAATTTTAAAAGATGTGTTTTGAGATGTGGGATATAGAGGAGAATATGTAGTAATGAGTTGATTATTGTTACCTGATAATGATTGAGAATCTTGAGCTTGTTGGAGATTTTAGCTGAGCTCATTCCTTCTTGTATGGACTTAAGGGGTACAGTATCTCTATTTCTTAGAGTTTGTGTTGTAAGAATGTCAAGATAAAAGATAGATATTTCATCAAATTTATTTTTTTAGTTGAGAGTTTTATTTTTGAAGATGAGTTTGAATGAAAATTTTTCTTTCTCCTTAAAGGTGAGATTTTCTTAAGAATGATAATACATATGCCCTTTCTTAGTGGAGGAATATCCAATAAAGGCATATTTGAGAGCTTTAGGATAAAGTTTTCCGCTCTAGTATACATGGTACTTGTTATAGGTTATGTCTTTTCGATTTGTTTGAAGGTCATTCATGTGAATTTAATTATTTGAGATGTGTAAGGGTTATAGCAGCTATTCACACAAATATATTATTATTAGAGCATGCTAAGCATGCTCATGACTTAGCATTTTAAGTTCATTGTTCCTTGCATTATGTTTGCTTATGCATGTATTGTGGATCCAATTGAGAGGATTTCATTAAAATGTTGTAAGGAATCAATTTCGAGCTATAAATAAGAAAGCCCCTTAGTTTATTTTCATCTCAAATTGAATTCATCGATTGCATTTAAATTTTTTTTATTCTTTCTTGCATGTAGGCAAGTTTTTCAAGTTCATTGCAAATTTCATGTAGGTTCAATGTGTTCTCATTTTTAAAACTTTATTCTCGTTTCATCATTTTTGCAATTTCAAAGTTAGCAATTTCAATATGTTTTCCCTAATGCATCATGAAAGACGTGTCTCTATACTTAATTTTTTTTGCCATGCTAAAAAAAGCACGTATGGGTTTACTAGGTGTGTCACAAAACGCCACCTATGAATTTTTCCCGCACGTTAAGAAAAGCAAGTATGAGTACCACTTGTTGCACTGAATGTGTCACATTCAGGATTTTGAAGATTTTTGTGAGTTTATGAAATTATATCTTTGCCAGTGTCACGGTGTCGAAGATAATGATGACAAAGTGAGGCGACAAGGATGTACTAAATTTTATTTCTTTTTTTTCTTTTAGATTTTTTCCTTTTTTTCTTTTTTGGCCCTTTTTCTATTTTTTATTCTTTCTACAGAGATAAAGAGGCAATGAGAGGTAGAGATAGAAAGTGAAAGTGATGAGAGTTAAATAGAGAGGGGGAGTGAGAAGAGAAAGAGAGAGAGAGAGAGAGAGAGAGAGATTAATAGAGAAAAAGTGAGGGAAAGAGAAGAGAGTGTTAAAGAGAGAAAGAGAAGAAAGATAGAATTATGGGTTGTTTGGCTATAAGTAGGATTTAACTCAAATAAGATTTTGTATTCCTGTAAATCTATATTTAGTAAATCTTGAGACAGCTAAATCCTAAAAATTATTTGTTATGACAGAGGTTAAATCTAGTTTGGCTACGTCAGGATTTAGGTACGTTCTACAATTATTTTGTTGAAGTGAGCGGATGGTATTGATACTGCACTTTAGTGATATTAGCGTCTTACGCTTGCAAAAGTTTTGAGAGGAAGTCTTTCTCATCTTCAGAGGAGAAAACTTCTCATTTGTATGCAGTCTTCTTCATTTGTAAGAAAGACTTTCATTCTTGTATATTTGCATGTTTTTGGAAATTTATCCTTTTATTCATATATGTATTAATATACAATTGAAGAAATACACACATAACATGTATGTGTATTTATGGGGATTTGTAGCTCGAGTTATATGTTCTTGGTTTGATATGAAGTTTATGTGAAAGTTCGTATTTGCTTATAAAAATTTCTGTTTTCTACCTTTCCTCTCTGACGATATGTCAAAAAATATCTTTTATCAATGCAGTTCTTTCTGGAGTTGATGAAGGTTCCTCGTGTAGAGGCCAAGTTAAAAGTGTTTTGTTTTAAGCTTCAGTTTAATAATCAGGTTTTTTTATTCTCGATTTCTTTCTTTTTCTCCAATAATGTCTTGAAAATATCTTTGCAATGAACTTTATATTTTTCTCTTTACCCCTTTCTTCCCAGAGAGCAGATATTAGAAAGAGCTTATACACTGTTGATTCTGCATGTGAAGAGGTCTACACTAACTAGCACGTATTTACACATCTGCATCATTGCGTTTATTATGGTGCAAATAATTTCTACATTTTCTTTCAGATTCGAAACTCAAACAAGCTAAAGGAAATAATGAAGAAAATTCTCTCTCTCGGGAACACTCTCAATCGAGGAACTGCAAGAGGTCTGACTTTCATGTAGTTTGTACATCATTTTTAACATCAATGGCTGGTATTTTGATATCTACCTGAGTTCGAATTATGGGCTTTCATTTAGGCATCTCCAATTGGGTTTACGTAGTCAGCGATTTTACTGAAAATTGTGTTTTTCGTGAGATCAGCATGATGCAAAAGTTGAGAAATTCGACTCCAAGTTTGGGTTCAGTAGTTAAGAAACACTGTTCCTCCTACATTTTTCTTAGTTAAGATGTAAAGTTTACATGTTCTGAAAATGTGCGCTTGCTTAATTATTTCATTCGATCAACCATTTATGTGTACTTCTATTTTTGATATACGAATCGTATGGAGTAGGAATTAAAAAGGCATTTTATCTCAAATATCACATGGAGCAAATTGCTGGTAGAATTGGTAGATATTGTCTATACTGACTTGATTTTTGGATGAAATGTGGGGGACCTAGTTGGGATATATATAAGAAATTGATACCTTTTATCCTATTTCGTCGTCACCGTCATTTCCCCGCCTCTCGAGCTACAAAACCCTAATGGACTATGTTCTCATTTTCTATCAGATTTTCTGCGATGTCTAGGGTTTTCGCTTGCGGCTCCTTCGGTCAGGTAACCTCGCCTCTTGTTCCTTATCCTTTTTTTTTTTCTCTCATTTCTCTTCCTAAAAACCGGCATGGCTGCTCATCGCTTGAGTGACCCCGGTTTTTTGGATGTAAAACACAAATCACGGTCTTTTCGTGAGATTTTGTCTGGTGAGTCGGCTTCTCCGACGTTTCCTCCTCTCAAACCTTCTTCTCACCATGGTTTGCCAGCTTTGTTGATTTCAGAAGATGAAATGAGTTCTCTTGTTGCTCCATTTTAGTTTGCTTTAGTTGGGAAGTTCCCTACTCGTCGTCCCCCGCTCGATACCATTCATAATTTTTTTTCTGGATCTAAAATTGATTGGTGATTTTTTTGTTACTTTGTTGAACCCTAAGAATAGTTTGATTAAACTGAGAAATGATTTGGATTACTATCGGTGTTCTCCCACCGTTGCTATTTTGTCAACAACTGTTATATGAAGCTTTTTAAGTGGTCTCCTCACTTTGATGTGAAAGTTGAATCTCCCCCATTTGAATGTCGTTTCCCTACCTCCGCCTGCATCTCTTTTCTCCTCGCATTTTGTATGGGTTAGGGTCTTTATTTGGTAGAGCCTTGCGTACTAATAATGCTACTATTAGCGGCACTAGACCTTCGGTAGCTCGTATACTTGTTGAGTTAGATATTACTAAATGCTATCCTAATCAAGTGTGGCTTGGCTCTGATTCTGTGGGGTACATTCAATCCGTGGAGATGGAAGAATTTTCCCCATATTGCTCCCATTGTAAATCTTTGGGTCATATGAGAGATGTTTGCCCGATTATGTTTCCTTATTTGGGTCATGTGAGAGATGTTTGCCCTCCTGTGCTGGAGGGACCTTCGGTAGTTGCTCATACTTCACAAAATGCTGGTGATATTCCGCCTTTCGTTGGGGTGGATAATTGTGTTGGTGGTATCCCTTTAGATTACAGTGGTGCTAATGGGGGTGATCCTTCTATAATTAATGCCGGGGAGCAAGAAAATATGGCTACATTGGTTTAGGGCGATGTTGATTGCCTTAATTTTGATAATTTGGTTTCTTCTAATGTAGCTTTTCTTGAGTCGGCGGATGTTAATTTGATTAAAGATAGTGTGGTTGAGGATTGTTGTGTTGCTTTGGCTCCTGAAGTGAAATATGGCTACATTGGTTTAGGGCGATGTTGATTGCCTTAATTTTGATAATTTGGTTTCTTCTAATGTAGCTTTTCTTGAGTCGGCGGATGTTAATTTGATTAAAGATAGTGTGGTTGAGGATTGTTGTGTTGCTTTTGGCTCCTGGAGTGGAGGAGGTTGATGATGTCGGTCCTTTGGATCATGGTGCTCTGGTCAGACATCCCTCTGTTGGGGGTAGTGTTGTTTGTGCTTCTTTGGTTGATGTTCCTGTCGAGCAAATTTCGCATGATGTTCTTAAGTCGCAAATTTTGTTGAGATCGGTGGAGTCCTATTTGAGGCAAATTGATTGGTTGGATGATTCTCAGTACTCTTAGTGTGATCTAGAGGATGACTTTGGGGATGACGTTGGGGCCACACAAGATTTGTATAATTTGGATGTTTCTCTTGCTTTGGAACCCCCTTTCTCTCATGGTGGCAAACGGTGTCGATGCAAATTTAGGAGATAAGATTTTTCTTTCTTCCTTTGTTTTCGTTTGCAGGGTTGACTATATTTTGTTTCTCTTGTGATGCTCTTGTTTTTTTTTTTTTGGTCGGGATGTTCTAGTGCGGATCGTTTTGGCTTGGTTTTGGTGAGATATGGGTTGGCTGCTTGGGTTATTTACCTGCTCTATTGTGGTTTTGGATTTGGCTTTGCATTATGATGAGGCAGTATCCCTCGATGCCCTGCAGATGGCCATGACTTGGTTTGCAACCTTGGTTGTCCTTTTCTTTATTAGAATTTTTAGTCTTTTACTTTGGTGAACCTGATGTGTTTGGAATCTATGTGTTTGCCTCTATTTCCTCCTTGGATGGCCCAAGCCTGACAACCAGGTGGCGGTCTAAGTCCAGTTGCTCTGAGAATTTTCCTTTTCATTGTCTTGTTCAACTTTTTGGTCCGCCACTAATTGTTCTGTCCTCTCACTGTATTTGTCTTTATATGTGGCATCTTTTTTTGGCTTGTGTTGTAATGCCTCTTTTATTTAATGGATTTTTATTTAAAAAGAAGGGTGTCAATTTCAGATCACGGATCAGGTTAGGGTCGAACCCGAAATTAATCTGACACTATTCAGGTCAACCTGAACCCGACCTGACCCGCAGAGACGGCAACGTCGGCAGCAATGGCAGGCCGACAACGGTGACGCGACGCAAGGGGAAGCCGGGCAGGCGGGTCAGTGCCACAGTGCGGCGGGCAGACCGATGCAGAAGCGGATGCGACGTACGAGTTGCGAATCTCATGACACGTGATTGGCCTCGGGCAACAGTCGGTTAACGACGGTCATGGCAGCAGCTCGGTCATGCGGCGTTGCAGGCAGCTCGATCACACGGTCAGCTACAGTCATGCGGGCAGTGGTTAGTGAGTCAATCCGGGTTATTCTCGGGTTTCCAGGTCAACCCGAATCCGAACCGGTTTTTGAAATTTGTCGAAAAACCTAACCCGAACCCGACCCGGTTCAGGTTCAGGTTAACCTGAACCAGAAATTTCCATGTCGGATTCAGGTCGAATTTTCGGGTCATGTCAAATATTGACAACCCTAATAAATATAAGTTTAGTGGATATAGTCAAATCCCTGCATAACTTTGTTATAGTGTTTCAGTTGTTTAGTGACTGCTGCATATGGATACTCAAACCATATTCTATCGCAATGTTAGAAGCTATCATCTGTCTCATTGAGGTTGGTATCATCATCAAATCACCATCAAATTGGAATTGCATTGAGTTAATGATGCAAGATGACTTACATTTTAGGATTTTCTGATATAAATCTAGGATTAGTTTAACAAAATCACTCACATGAAAGCTAGATTCATAGTTCACTAGCTTTTAATTTAGACTAAATTTGTCTTTCTGTATGAAAATAAAAAGTACATACAATTCACGCAATCAATAATTTAATGATAGCCCAAATAGACATTTTGCTGAAAAACTTAGAATCAATGAAAGCTACACGACGATCAAGATTGACACCTCCATCCAGGATCCAGTTTATACCTTGCTCGCAAAATCAATCACAATGTATAAGAAAAAATAACAAGGAAATAAGTCACAAAATAAAGGCCTAGGTCTCAATTAGTACAGTGAATGACCTCCCTTGGAAATTGACAGCGAGCACTTACATGACACTTGAAGAGTTCAACAAGCACTCAAGTTTTAGAGGAACTGAAATTTTTATTAAGCAAATTTATTGGTATAGGATTTTGACTCATAGAAGAAGAATCTACTTCAATCCTATCATATGCCTCTTATCTTTCCATATTTATAATTTTCGAATTCCCTAAGATATGTGGTTTCAGAACCCTCAAAATTGCTATAATTTTCAAGTTCACTATGCATGATGAAAATACAAGCAAAGGGGGGACGTGATATCACATAAAGGCCACTCAAAGTGCATCAACCAAAAGCTAAAATAAGTGAAATGATGTCTATTCGTGAAACAAACAATGCCAAAATGTTGATGACAATTAAAACAATTACGATTGACATTCGTATTTATCGAGGTCATTAGTCCACAACAATTAAATTTTTGAGTGCAAAGATCAAGACTAAGTTGGTGGGTGCAAACGGCGGACATGATTAGTTCAAATAATATTTATCAAAAATATTTTATCAACTTTATATTTGAAATTAAAACACTTTATGTGCTCCTTTCACATAAATACCCCCAAACAAAAAAAATAACCTAACCCTTAAACCCACTCACATAAATACCTCAGATTCCACTCCCGCTAAAAAACCCAGACGACGCTAGCCCTCACACTCACGTGTGCCCCCCTCCCTAGTCCTCTCAGCTCGCACGCGAGTCCTAGGCCCCGAAGTCCCCTCTCCCTGTTCGTGCAATCTGACCACAGCTAGCCACCCGTCGCGACCTCTAGCTGCTGTCATCAGCTTCCCTACCGGCTGACCTTGCCACCGGCACCTCCAGTCGGCGGCTGCCTAGCCGCCGCCAGCCACCATTTATCCTCCTCTTCCTTCTTTTCTTCTACTCCTCCTTTCTCCCTCTACTTCGCCTTTCTCCTCACTTCTCCGTCAACCTCACTTCTTTCTCTCATCTTCTCCACCCTAAACTATAACTCCCACCTTCTGCAAACCCTAGATCTCACTCTCTCCCATTTTCTCTTTCTAAATCAGAGAGAGAAAGTAGTTTTTTTTTTCTGTCAATAACCCCTTCCTACAACTCCCCAGATCTTCCTTCACCAAAACCTACCCCCTCTCACTTAGAGAGAGAAAG